TGCTCAGACTACCTGTTTGTCCAAACAATGGTGCATACAACAGATTATAGACCCCTTTTGAGCCGACGTCACAGTTACGTCACGGCGCAAGCTGGAGGCAAAACAAAGTGAAAACTGGAGGCGGCCAATACAAACCAGCACAGATTCGGCTACATAATAAGGAGCTTAAATAATTGTTACTATTATTAAATCTCATCTTGTTGTGTTGTTTGGTGCAAGAATTGATGAAAAATGAATATGCTGTATCTGAAACTTTTATTTCTAGAAAATATTCACATCATTAAAATCGCACTGTAATGACACTCTTTACATTGTCGTGGTCTCGGCGCTGGCTCGGCAGAACTGCGGATCATACACACAAGTCTTGTACAGGACCATATAGGCATCTAAAGATTTATATGCCCTCAGTTTCTACTTACGATCGGTTTCTCTATAAGGTAGGTGTAGAAGTCAGGCCACTCACCCGAGGTAACGTAACGTTAATCCTGTCAGATCGTCCATGCATTGAGTGAGCGTGTGGGCGGCTACAGGTCGGCCAATCTGGTGGTTCCGTCCGTTAAAAATAACTTTTGAAAATAACAATCGCGGTCCTGGACACTGAGGGACCTTAAACATTAAGATAATATCGGATTTTCTCCAGTCATTGTTAAAAAACAAGCTAACAATCCTTGCTAACTAGCGTTAGTGAAGCGGCCAGATGGATCTTTCTGCCTCCACCTAAGCTCCGCCCACAAAAAACGTCACCATGTTTACCAACTGTAAAAGGGATGCAGCTATTGCTCATATTAAGTGAATTCAAAGTAACAGCTTAGCAACTGCTTAGCAACACCATGGCAACCACCCAGAACACTCTGGCATGACGACAAACACTTTTGCATGGACAAGAGCCACTCATGTGGATCAAAAAAAGTGTTCGTATCAATAGATTATCAATGGATGATTTTGAACTTTAACTACAATTAAAATCACAATAGAAAACAGATAAATAAAATCTATTTCAAAATATTAACAAAAACTATAATAATATATACTGATACTAAAATAAGACGCAGAGGCAAGTGGCTTTTAAGATCACACTTAAAACAAGTTTAATTATTTTATAAAATTTGTGTCTACAAATGTGCTGAGACTCCAGAAAGAGTGATTAAAGTTGCAGAGAGAAAGTATCGACAGATCTTTTCATCCATATTGTGACGTACATCTGAGTGAATTATCGAAAAGAAAATTTGGGTTCAATCCATCGGTTGTTGATGGAGGCAGAACCAAATGCGACATATTGATTGAAAATCACAATGCCAAAAAATGAAACACATAAATGAATCACTCACATTAAGATCAACAACATGCATTTAGAAAATAGAATATCTAGGATGAATATCTATTTCATGCTGACTTAAACACATCTTTATACAGCTTCCAAGTTCCTACAAATTATTACAAAGCAGAGATTTTTCATCCATTTTTTGGCATGACAGAATAGAATGAAATGCTTCATTCATTTTGTTCATTCATGAACAAGATGCCTCATTCAGTGCTGCTCCGAGCCATATTCATTCAGTAGGTTCAAGTAATGAAATGCATGTTCAAAGCACACAATTGAATGCAGGGCTCCAGACTAACGTTTGAGAGCAGTAGCACTAAGTTCTACAGACGGTGGCGCCAGCAGCTGATTTGGTGGCGCTGGGGGGATTTTTAATCATAAAGTTAATTTAATCAAAATATGTATTAATAAGTGCAGTTAATAATATTACATGTTTGTCTATTGGAAATTTGACAGTATAGCACTGAGCTTGAATTGAGAAAAATGAACTTTTATTAACAACAGTAACATGCAAATTAAATGTGCCATTGTTCATCTGCAATACTGAACTGACGACAGCTTCAGTGATTATAAAAGGAGCGCTCTTTACTTAATTTAGTCAGAATTGTTTTTAATGAAACTGTGACAATACTTTTTTCCATTTATTAACACTCTGACTGAGTAATATTATTTATAAGTTATTAGTGTTCCTCTGCCGCCATCTACTGGTTATAGTCTTGGTCTTTTTTTAAATAAAAGTGTTTGTTTGCCACATAGTTTTAGGGTTTTTTTTTTTCATCTTTAAACTTTTAGTTCTACAAATTATTAAATTAAACATGACATTAACGTTAATAGGTGATTTTCTACCGGATTTTTTTTGTTATGCTGTTTGAAAGTCTCCACATATCCCGTTAGCAATCACTTTGTTAAGCGCTCTATACACATAACTACTTGTTACAACAAAGCATTTGTGAAGCCACAACACGCACAACCTTGAGGCGGATGGGCTACAACAGCAGAAGACCCCACCGGGTACCACTCATCTCCACTACAAATAGGAAAAAGAGGCTACAATTTGCAAGAGCTCACCAAAATTGGACAGTTAAAGACTGGAAAAATGTTACCTGGGCTGATTAGTCTCGATTTCTGTTGAGACATTCAGATGGTAGAGTCAGAATTTGGCGTAAACATGAGAACATGGATCCATCATGTCTTGTTACCACTGTGCAGGCTGGTGGTGGTGGTGTAATGGTGTGGGGGATGTTTTCTTGGCACATTTTAGGCCCCTTAGTGCCAATTGGGCATCGTTCAAATGTCACAGCCAACCTGAGCATTGTTTCTGACCATGTCCATCCCTTCATGGCCACCATGTACCCATCCTCTGATGGCTACTTCCAGCAGGATAATGCACATGTCACAAAGCTCAAATCATTTCAAATTGGTTTTTCGAAAATGACAATGAGTTGACTGTACTAAAATGGCCCCCACAGTCACCAGATCTCAACCCAATAGAGCATCTTTGGGATGTGGTGGAACGGGAGTTTTGTGCCCTGGATGTGCATCCCACAAATCTCCATCAACTGCAAGATGCTATCCTATCAATATAGGCCAACATTTCTAAAGAATGCTTTCAGCACCTTGTTGAATCAATGCCACATAGAATTAAGGCAGTTCTGGAGGTGAAAGGGGGTCTAAAACAGTGTTAGTATGGTGTTCCTAATAATCCTTTAGGTGAGTGTATGTATTAGAAGGCGTAGGACCATAAATTTCGGTCTGAATGAAATGACACCATGTGTTTGCATACCACTGCACAGCCTGTTCACGCAGACATCATACATCATCAGTGCTTTTCGCGTACGCTGTGCAGACAGGGCGAGAATGGCAGGCAAACAGGAACAACCCTTCCCTGAACCAACAACAAGTGGCAAGCATCTTCATTTCAGGTTTGATAGTACAGTTCTGTGTACCGCTGACTAGGGTTGGGTATCGAGAATCGAGTATCGATTGGAACCGAGACAAACTTTTCGTTTTTCCCGGAATCGTTCAAAAGTTAAAATTTCGATTCCTAGTTTCGATATTCACAGTCCGCCGAGCGGAAGAAGAAACCCCTGAACAACACCAACGAAGAAGCGTCTACCGGAAGTGTTGGCATAACCACGCGAGTCGAACATGAGTAGCTTACGTCGGCGATCCAAAGTGTGGCTTCACTTTTCTAAAAATCGAAAACGAAATCTCGGCAAAATGCAAAATTTGTGACAAAAGGAGTATTTTTACAGAAGGAGTATTTCCTTCAGAAAGGATTATTTCCTTCAGAAAGACCGTTGGTTAGCAAGGTTAGCTAAACTTTTTTGACCCTGCCTCTTAAAAGAATCGGAATCGAGAATCGTTAGGAACCGGAATCGAAACAAGGCATCGGAATCAGAATCGTTCAAATTCAAACGATACCCAACCCTACCGCTGACGTCTCAGCCTTCTCCCCTCACTGTGCTGTAAAGTTTTCACACCGGTGAACGACACATGATGTAATCTAATGATGTTGTCTCTGATCGTCTCACTTCTGGTCTGTGCTCCATGTGTTTTGCAGGGAGGGTGGGATCGTATGCTTTCAATGCTAACAGGCTAAAGTTAGCATTTCCCGGTTCACCTATTGCACCTTTAAAATTGGGTAATATTTAGAGCTTTGAAGTGCTGGAAAAAGTGTGAAATCCCTTGAAAAGAACCTTTAAATGAATAATGTAAAAAACACTCTACTATTTCTTTCACGATACCATGGAAACAGTTAGCGTTGCTACATTAAATCCATGGTGAAAGTTGGTGATTTGTAAACTGAAAAGCCTTCTATAACTTAATAACTGTTCATGTTTGTTTCTCTTGGTTTCCACATCAGCGCCATTTGTTATGTTATGATATCTATGGTACTGTAGGTAATTATGTGCCAAATTTGAATCATTCCCACTTGATCTTGCAGTGAAATTATTAATAATGAAGTGAATTGAAACTATTTCTCACTGGATCTCCCAGCGGCGTGTGTCACGTGATCAAGATCGGCCTGTGAGTAAACCTGTTCAGAGCTTGCGGTTCAAATAAGTCGTGTGGTTTTGTTTCACTTTCGTTTCGTTTGCTGTTTCTCATATGTGAAATCTAACAAATTTAAGTCACACCGGCAGGAAAACAGGACACAAAATGTGACCATTTGGTTGCAGTCTGAAGCCCTGGAATGCTATTCGAAGCATTCACACATTGTAAAAGGGAGAGAAAGTAAATGAAAAATATAAGTCAGTTCACTGAAGTAAAGAGGATTGAATTGCTCAAAGATTCAGTTTGCGTATGGACCAGTTTGCAGTTTACATTGTATACAAGTTTGCCGGCCATTCAAAGACAAGAGGGAAGTGTGTTCAGATCAAACCAGATCTGTCAGCCCAGATTCATCATAAGCACAGATAATAGACCATGCCCATTAGACAGAAATAAGCATCATTGCTCGGCAGTAGTGGTTAAATTTGAAACAAATTTGTGATTAATTTAAATGAATCACACCAGCACCAAAAGAAGTTGCGAGACTGTTGGGAGATCAGGGATTAAAGCAACACTGCGTTTAGGGAGCGAGAGACGTCTGGAAGAATTCGGCTGAGTCACACCTGCGCAGAGGAGGCAAAGCTCATGCCAATTTACAACTGCCTTCCCTGAAAATGTTCCTTGCCTGCTATTATCTTCCACAGCCAGACTCTGCTGTCTCCCCGAGGGAGCGGGGCAAGGGGCCATCTCTGCCTGAAGCCCGCTGACGTGGATCTTCGAGGGCCTCTCGCCTGGGTGACTGGGCAGAGAGGAGCAGAGAAGAGACAGAACGTTCTGAGGATGCCGTTGACATACGGGGAAAAAACAAACAGTTTCATCAGCATGTCCCCTGAGGCTGGATCCAGGGAAAAGTGTCTGCCACAACCACATCCAACAGGATGCTTTTGAAAGCAGGAGCATATGTATCTGCTGCTTCAAAGTGGCATTCTTTATATTCAAGTGGTACTTCATTATGACTTGACATCCAACAACCTGGAGAGATGCTGGTACAGCTAGTCAAACCATTTGCACATAAAGTCCCTAACATATGCACTGCTGTACGCGCTGATTTAAAAACTAGCTAATCCATTCATAAAGTGAAATATCATTCACATTAAGGCTGACGCAACTAATCGAATTGACAATGAAACCTTAATAAATTTCACCTAAAATAGGTTTAGCACAATGATAAGGATTTTTTTTTCTTTTTCAGAATTCTACTTGCTCTACCAATATTTCCAACACAATTTAAAAAATACATTTATAATTTTTAAATTAGAATTGTTACATGCATCAATATTTGTTTTAAATTATAATATTAGTTATTATTCTACCGTATAAATGTACATTTCAAAATACATACAGCACTGATTTTTTTTATTAAAGAAATCTTCAGGTTTTTTTAAGCAAGAATGTGTTAAATTGACAGTAAAGATGTTTATAAATGTTATAAAGGATTTCTTTTTCAATAAAATGATGTACCTCTTAACTTTCAATTTAAAGAATCCTTGAAAATGTATCACAATTTCCAAAACATTAAGCAACGCTACTATTTTCAACATTGATCATAATATAATATTAGAATGATTTCTGAAGGATCATGTGAGAGTGAGGATGCTGAAAATCCAGCTTTACAGAAAAAAAAGACTTTTTAAAACATTTTCAAATAGAAAACATCACAATATTATTAATCTACTGTATTTTTGATCAAACAAATAAGCCTTGGTGAGCTTAAGACTTGGTGAGCTTCTTTCAAAAGCAAACAAGCAAGTCTACTTGCAACTATATATATATATATATATATATATATATATATATATAAATATCAAAGTTTTTTTTAAACTAAATCTGCAATAATAGACATTTTACAGGTACTGTACTCCAAGACAAAAATTGCTGGAAAATGATGGCAAAACATAACTGCGCCTATAGATAACACATTGCGTGACCTCCCATGACCCCTCAAGAGTCTCATGTGCAGACATTCTCGATGCTTAACCTTTTATTAAACATAATGCACTCAGGCCTTCCCATCTGACCTAATCTGAAAGTTACAATAAACATAACAGGAAGTTGATCAGATGGACATAGCGCACCCTCTGACAAAATGACTTAAAAAAACACTGATGTTTTCTTACGATGAAAGGGCAAGGAAAACCGTCAAGGTTGATTCACAAACCAAGAGGCAGCTTCCTCAATCATGTGTGTTTGAGAAGGTCAAAACAATAACTTTTCTTGATGCGATAAAAGGAAACGTCCTAATGATTTCTTTTTTGAAGACAGGAAGAGCAGAAGTTTTAAACATCCTGTTTTACAGTGGAAAGAAAGGCAGCCCTAACTTGACCAGAAGCGATACTCTGAGCTTTATCCAGGAAGTAAGCCTGACAATGCCATGACATGTCATGACATTTGATGATGAGCAAAAGTCTTGTATTACTGCAGAGAAGTGACCTTTCAAAAAGTACGGTGCGAGGAGAGGCCACTCACAGACAGATTTTACACTTATGGTTTGATTTTTTTACAGAATAAATTATTATTCACTTAAGATTGGTCACTTGAGTTCAGCAGCTACATAAAACATAACTTTCAAGTAAACCATTGACAAATAGGGATGGGTATTAAAAAACACAGTTTCTGATTCACAAGCTTTCAATTCGAATTGATTCAGATTCAATTTAATTTAATTGATATCTAATAGACAAGACTGAGACTTTTTTTTAAAGATTCTTCAAAGGATTAGCTCACAAGAGCCATTTTCTCATGAAATGGACTACACAGGTTGTATGATATGGTTAGGTTCACTAAAAGAAACCGGTACATATGAATCATTTGTTCATGAATCATGGTATCTTTTTGATTCACTTATAACTGATTAACTATAGGCTCTGAAAAGTTAATTGTTTGTGAATCAAACTACATTGGTTATGAAGTTTTTGTGTATTTTATTCAAAAGAATTGGTCCATAAAGAGTCATTTGTTTATGAATCCGACCACATTGTTTAAGTTTAAATATACTGCATAGTTCTGTGTTCGTCTACTTGCCCTGCCAAGATTTCCTACACAATGTCTAAAAATAACTTTAACATACGTTTTTGAATTTGAAATACAATAGTGGCCAAAAGTGACGTCTCGAGCATATATTTGTTTTTAATGACCCTACAAGTTCGACTGAACAATCAAGGTACGGATATTATATACACAGCAAAAAGCATACATTGTGAACAGCATAATCAGTTATTAATATTTCATTGGTTCTCTCTTGTTTTTGAATGTGTTCATAATTTCTTATATGACAGCCTGGGCAAAAATGATGTCCCCGCACAATTTTGGCATGTTCCATTGTGTTATCACAAATAGTATTAGGTATCATAAAGGGACACTTCACCCATTTGCATTAAGCGTTGTACCTTTAGAAACCCAGTCATATTTTTGAATGGTCATGGTTTATTTCCTTATTTTCCCCTGAGATGGTAGAAATAATGATTTAAGTGTTTTACTTCCTGCTTATTATGTTGTAAAAATCGTCATTTTGCATCATAACAAGTAGAAAGTCACATTTCATTAAAGAGTGTAGAGACTACAAACATTAGCTCATTATTATTCAAGGGTGTGGGACCCACTCACCCTACAGGCCTATTACAGATCAGTGGGTGGGACTTCACTTGCAGATACTGAATCAACATCAGCCATCTTGTTTGGAAGCTAAGCTAACAAGAGCTGTGGAGATAGGAAGTATGATAATGACAGAAGAAACTAAAGAAGAGGAATTTAAAATTCTGCTGCTCGAATCCGATGTTCGAGGCTGTCTTTACGAGCTGCAATAAGTTAGTGAAGAGCAACTGAGGCTGATGGAGGAACCGGAGGCGGCTGCCTGTCGCGGTCGAGGAGCCCTGACTGTGTTAACGTGGAATTTCGCAGAATTTTACATATTTGGAATGAAATTTGGTTTTTGTGTGGGTGAAGAACGTATGTCTGGGGAAAATGCAGAGAGACGGGGAAGCAAATCTGGGCGACACAACCCCTCCCGTCATTTCAGCTCATGACGGCATCAAAACAATAGCCGCGTTTCCACTGAAAGCATGGCGAAGCGGCTCTCCACGGCTCTGCTTTCTTCGGCGAAAAAGTTAAGAAACTGGTCGCACACACGCACACACACTCAAAGTCCAACAGTGCACGCGAGAGAGACCGAGTTTGTCCGAGAGAGCACACGAGAGAGACCGGTTTGTCCGAGAGAGCGCTCGACAGTACGCGCGAGAGAGACCGAGTGTGTCCGAGAAAGCACGCGAGAGAGACGGAGTGTGTCCGAAAGAGCGCGCGAGAGAGACCGAGTGTGTCCGAGAGAGCGCTCGACAGTGCGTGCGAGAGACAGAAGCTGCGTCCCAATGTGCATACTATGCCGGAAATAGTATTGACAATAATGTCACATACTATTTGTATTTAGGGTGGATTGTATGCAGATTACGAAGCAGCTAGAGTGTGAATTTATTTTAACTTGTATAAACTAATATAATTTATTTTTTACGGGACAGTTTAAAGCTCATAACCATATTTTGTTGTTACTTGAAGTACTTAGAGTGCAGTGTTATGTTGCATCATGCAGTATTTGTCATTTTAAGAGTAAATGCCTATTTTATTTGTGTACATTTTAATCATTAACATTAAAAGCAACATTAAAAGCTTTTTTAACAACTAAAATAACAGTAAAGGGTAATAAAAACTGAATTCCCAAAAATTAAAACGGAAAAAAAGGAATTTGGGAAAAAATAAAAAGGAATTTGTGAAAAAATAAAACGGATTTTATAGGGCTCTAATTGTGGGAGTTGTTGTCTTACATACAAATGCGCCCTTCGGTCTTTTCTCTGTTAAGAGGGCACCAAATTCAAAAGTTCTTTTACATTTCGACTACATACAGTATATGATCCACTTTCAATAAAGATTAATTCTGAAATGGGTGAAATGCTCCTATAATGACGGGTATAAATCCAAAAAATACATTTTACGTTTTAAGTATGGTAAACCCAAAACCAGTCTAAATTATAGGGCTTTCTTCAGGCTGATTATTTATTCAGGAAAGTAGTTGATATGCATCCCTAGTGCGAAGGACACCAGGCTTAACTGATGCAAAAAACAACAACAACCCTTCACACTCTCATGAGACAGCAGGTCAGTTCAATAGTGTCCATGATGAAAAGATAACATGTCACAGGCGAGTACCTTCACCATGCAATAGTCTCCCATAATGAACACTCCCAACGTGCAGTGACAGGGAGGAGAGAAACAAAGTTCTTTCTCTCTCCTCTCGTCACGCATGCTTAACCTTGTGCCGCTGCGTGGACCACACCGTTTGCATATTAATGTGTGAAGATATTAGAGAGGTCTGCTCTCCTGAGGATCAGCAGAGAAAGAGAGAGCGAGAGAGAGAGAGACGCAAAACCAAAGACAGATACACAAAAACTAACAGAACCCACCTAGATACGCACAGCAGACAGAAACTGTGAAACCACAAACTGCATTCTGAAACACACCTGTAGTTTCCAGAAGCTCAGAGCTTTAAAGACTGCAAAGCGTAACGTTTCTGAGGCCACAACATTAATCATAAGACATAGGGACGCAATGAAATTTATTGAGACGGCTGCAACATAGGCTTGCTACGGTAGTCAGTGTTACCGGTGTTATCGGTGTTCAGTCGCAACACCGGTTTCATGACATGCCCACCGTGGCACCGCGGTGAAAAGTTTAAAGCCTTAAAAATATTGAATG